ATACTCTGTATATATTATGTATAAATTAATCCGGTATATTATATATATTATGTATATATTCTATATATATTACGAAAAGATCGTGTATTTTGTGTTTGATATGAACTAATATGTGTATATTCTGTATATGTTATATGTATATATTCTGTATAAGCTAGTACATGTATATTACGAAAAGATCGTGTATATTTTGTATATATTTTTTGTCATGTGTTTCCTATATTTTGAGAGAGATGGTACACTTGAAATTCAAATTGGGAAAAAAATAAACAACGCCTTAAGATGATGATGATCCATATCCACTTCTTTTTTTTTTTCTCCAACTGATAACTATATGGGAGTGATTGTAGGAAAATAAATTCCTTTGATATCGGCAGTTTACAATTGAGCACCAAATAAATGCACTTCATTTTGGTATGAATGCTAATAAAATATAAGAGTTCGTATATTTGCAATATATTTATATTCTTGTGGTAAATAAAAAAAATAGCCTTTATTAAACGGAATGAACCCAATTTAGGATGTTTAAAAATGAGACGGGTCCGACTCGTCCTAAATGCTATGGGCCGGACTTGGCAATCTAGCCCAAATTGTCACCCTTACTAAGATGGCTAATAATCAACCTTAGTTGACCACAATTAATAGCCCTAACAGCTCCATTAATTCAACTAGAAAACTCGTCCTGCATACAGATTTATAAGCAGTGACTCATTCTTAAAAGAAAAAAAGAGACAAAAGTTTTTTTTTTTTTTCCAAACGATAAACATTAATATTAACTCAACAACAAAATACTACAAAGTTCGACTACCCAAAGGGGTACAAATCTAAGTTCAGCAAAGCAGAACCTCGAAATATGGGATAAACAATATTCCCTTACCAAGCTAATACAGCTTCCCAAATAAACCCACAAAATATTAATCATAACCCTCCGAAACATAAACAAATTTGCAGGAATTAAAAGATTTAGCTAAGCAAGAAATGTCTGCTACCACCACATTCCTAGCATTATCTCCCTTCAGTCCTTCTTCAAGTTCATGTACCAGATTCTTGTTCCCCAACCTCAGAAGTAGTCTATCACTGGTTCTTTCCATCAGCATCTCCAATGTCCACCTTATTGCAACTAGCCAAGCCTCCACTGAATTTCCAACGAAATCCCTAGATACAGCATTGTCTAGAGCAACCTCACAGTTCATCATGGCAGTAAAAGCACACAGAAGCTTACCATTAGAACTCAAATTTGCAGTCACTGTTACCCTTAGATTGTACTCATCAGCTCCCTCACCATTGTTCAGTTTGCACTTCCAGTTTTCAGAATTGCCCATGAGTGCTGACTCCCCTTCCTGAACTGAAGTAAATTCCAACCATTCATTACTAGCAAGAGCCACAATCCTGTCTTTTGGTATCCACTTCATTTCAAACACCCAAGAATTTATAGTTTTCCATAACCACCAAAGAAGATAAGTTGACAAACTTATTCTATCTTTGAGGTTCTGGAAATCCTTTCCACCACACACCTCTCCCCACCAATCTTTAAAAGTACCATTCTCAGAATTCACCTTCCACCAATGTACACCAATCATCTTCCAGCATTTAGCAGCTCTAGAGCATCTAAAAAAGATATGCTCTAAGTCTTCCACCTCTTGGCCACAACAATTGCAGATGACATCCTCACTCAGTCCTTTCTTCTTCAGAGCTTCATTGGTTGCTACAAATCCATGCCAACTTTTCCACAGGAAGTTTTTAATTTTGTTCTGAACAGGCAACTTCCAGGAGGAGCTCCACATCTTCTGTACTTGATTAGTGTTGGGCCCTGCTCCTGCTCCAATCTTTTGGTGTTGGTTAAATCTTGTAATACTCTCATAAGCAGATTTGACAGAATAGTTACCATTCTTGGTGAAATTCCAGACAAGCTTATCCTGAGCATCACAGTGACTGATAGGAATAGCAATAATAGCCTGAGCTGTAAATAGATCAAAAAATTTAATAACCAGACCCTTATCCCACTCTCCTCCACAAATAAGGTCACTAACACTCTTCACTCCACTGTTGTCTAACTTGCTATCTGTTCTAGGTTTGAAATCAGGGATATTAGGAACCCAGGGGCTATTCCAAATATCCACTCTCTTACCATTGTCTATTTGGTACCTAACCCCTCTCTCTAAAGCCCCTCTCACCCCTAACCAACTCCTCCACAACCAAGAGTCACTGTGTTTAGGAGTAGCTTCCATAAGATTGGAATTGTGGAAATACTTGCCTCTCATCACTCTACTCATAAGCAAATTAGGTTTAGTGAGAACCCTCCATAATTGTTTCATGAGTAAAGCTTCATTGAAGGCTCTCACTTCCCTAAATCCCATCCCCCATTCCTCCTTACTTCTAGCTATTTTCTCCCACCTAGCCCAATGCATTCTATTCCCACCCCCTTCCCTCTGCCCCCACCAAAAATTGGCTATGCTCCTGCAAATGTCATCACAAATAGATAAAGGAATTTTATAACAAGACATAATATATGTAGGGAGAGCACTCAAGATTGATTTTATAAGAATTTCCCTCCCTGCCTCACTCAAATACACATTCTTCCAGTTGGAAATGTTGTTTTTAACTGCCTCACTCACAAATTTGAAAATTTCTCTCTTAGTTCTACCAATCCCCAGAGGGAGACCAAGATATTTGGATGATTTCACATGCACAATTCCTCTGAGGACATTTCTAACATCAGCAGCTAACATGGCAGAAGAATTAGGAGAAAAAAAGACTGAGGACTTATCAAGATTAACAACTTGCCCAGAAGCAGCCCCATAATCTTCAAGAATCTTCAGAATAGTGGTAGCATGATTAAATCAGCCTTACAGAAAAGAATGGAGTCGTTAGCAAAAAAAAGATGAAAAATTAAAGGAGCATGCTCACCAACTCTAATCCCATGGAACACAGACTGAGATTTAGCTTTATTAATTAAATTAGAGAAAGCCTCAGTGATCATGATGAACAAATAAGGTGACAAAGGGTCACCTTGTCTGAGGCCCCTACTGGGATTGACATAACCTACCACCTGCCCATTGACTTTGAAAGAAAAGGTAGAAGAACTGACACAGGCCATGATCCAAGACACAAATTTATCACAGAACCCCATCTTTCTGCACACATGAACTAAGAAATCACATTCAACCCGGTCATACGCCTTAGACATATCCAATTTAACCGCCATATAGCTCGTTTTCCCTTGTCTTTTGTTGTTAATGAAATGGATACATTCATTTGCTATTATGGCATTGTCAAGAATTTGCCTCCCCGGAACAAAGGCAGATTGAGAGGTAGAGATACAACACTTAAGCAAAGGTTTCAGCCTAATAGCAAGGATCTTAGCAATGATTTTGTAAATGACATTACACAAGCTAATAGGCCTGAAATCAGATACTAAGAAAGGATGATGTTTTTTTGGGATCAGATAGATTATAGTATGATTAATACCTTTAGGAATCTGACCAGATTGGAAGAAGTTTTGAATAGCTGAGCATAAGTGTGATCTAACAGTGGTCCAGGATTTTTGGAAGAATAATGCAGTCATTCCATCAGGTCCAGGTGCTTTCTCAGCATTCATATCCCACAGGGCCTTCCTTATATCTTCCTCTGTAACCTCTCTCACTAGCCTCTGATTCATCTCCTTGGATATAGATCTGGGAATACCTTCAAGATTGCATCATTGCAACTGGGGATTAGTAGATGTGAATAGAGCGCCAAAGTAATCCTCCAGAACATCTGTGGTTTCCTCCAAGCAACTGCATCTAGCCCCCATTCTGTTGGACAAGTTGTCCAGGCTGTTAATCTTCCTTCTCTGGTTCACCGAGGCTTGGAAAAATTTGGAATTTCTATCTCCTTCTTTCAACCAGGAGATCCTGGACTTTTGTCTCCAAAACATTTCCTCCTCCTGATAGGCCTCCTTCAACAGAGACTTGACAACATTCCATTCATCCCAATCTTTTTGCCC